ACCAAAAATCCATGCTTCGCTCCTGACATAACAGCCTAAGGAAAAAAACTCTCCTTTAATGTGAAAAGACTTGTCTGGAGCACGTCTCCTATGAAGACAGGCTGAGAGAGTTGGGCTTGTTCAGCCTGGAGAAGAAAAGGCTCTGGGGAGACCTTACAGCAGCCTTCCAGTACCTAAAGGGGGCTACAGGAAAGATGGAGAGGGACTGATTACAAGGGCATGGAGTGACAAGACAAGGGGTAATGGCCTTAAACTGAAGACAGACGTAGATTAGATATATAAGAAATTCTTCACTGTTAGAGTGGTGAGGCACTGGAACAGGTTGCCCAGAGACATTGTGGATGCCCCATCCCTGGAAGTGTTTAAGACCAGGTTGGATGGGGCTTTCCGCAACCTGGTGTAGTGGAGGGTGTCCCTGCCCATGGCAGGGGGGTTGGAACTAGATGATCTTTAAGGTCCCTTCCAACCCAAACCATTCTACGATTCTATGATATACAAAGAAAAATCCCCATAGAACCAGCCAGCTTCTCTCTTTTCCCTTTCTAAATTAAGTTTCCTGATTGACATTAGCACTACTGGGTCCTGTGACTGGGAGTAAGGAAGAGAAGGAATAGTTTTCCCTCTGAAATCCCAGTGTTACCATTAATGGAAAATGTTCGGCTGATACTAGTTATAAGAACTTCAAGTTGTATACATGACACAGTACATCTAGGACATCACAGAAATACATGAGTAAATATATAAATTGGCTGAAATTGTAGTGGTCCCTCCACCCCAGTAGGATACCCAAATTAGGCTGTCGAGTATGCATCTATTTCAAACCTACTCATCTAATTTCCAGTCTTTGTAGAAACATCTTGTAAAGAAATAGAAACTGCTTTAAAAGCAGCACTAAGAACAAAAAGAAAGAAAAGCGTCCACCAAGCTTTTCAGCTTCGGCTAGATTATTGCTTAGAGAGGGCACAAACTGTTTCACACTTCATAAAGCAAGACGCTTCTTTGCAGAAAGATACCTGTAGGCTTCTGTGAGTGGGAGCTCATTAGTTGTCATACTTTCATCTTATAAAATCATGAAAATGGAATGCATAATATCAGCTCCAGCAACCCAAACACACAGAACTGATATAACAGCTTAATCTTGTAATAAAATAAACAGAAGTATCCATTGACTGAATCATCACTTGCTAGTCCTTGGAGGGGTGTTTTCACCTTCCTAATCAGACATGGCAGTGCCTTCTCTTCTCACATCCTTCAGCAAGCACTGGCTTTCCTCCAGGAGATCCTGAGGTCCAGCCTGCTCTCCTGGTGGCCGATCACAGGTCATGAGTTCACAGATGCAGCCCTCAGTTGTATTAGCAGAGGGAAATGAAACGGAGCTCCCTCAAGGACCACATCTTGGCCTGGTTGCCATTCAAGTGAGGATGATGACACTAGGCAACTGAGACCTCCAGTTTCCTCTTTTTGGCAGGCCCGTGCCTGGGGCAGCGTTGTGTCAGGTGGTACTGCGGTGCTTTCCATAAGTGACTCCTAAATTAATGAAGAACCCTCATGTTAAACAAATATACATACAATGTAATGCATCATTTCTTCCAGACAGACAGTTCAAGTCCCAGCTTTTTAGAAATACCCAGATAAACCTTAACCCAACCCTACTGGTCTTGCTTGCTGGAGGGAATAGTTGGGTTTTTTAAAATCCTCCTACAATGATGAAACCTTAAGGCAAGAAAACCCTTACATTTCTCATGGTGCAAAGTACAATTAAAGGGGGCTTTGTACCACGAGGTCCTTTGTCAGAGTTTGGATGGATGTGAACAAATAGCTCAACTTAGGTGGTTTTTCACCCTCTACTCCAGCTCAGGGAAAAGGTCTCTGCTGCCTGTCACCTCAAATATTGATAACTTTATCCAAAAAAGTGAAATAAAGTGCTGCCTTTTGTTTTCATTTTTTCCAAATTCACATACTGACCATCTGCATCCAGGTTTCTGTGTCTGTTACTAGCCTGAGGAATAGTTCCTTGTATTACTTTGAGGCCTGGATTTTCCAAAACAGAGATGACACACTGTTCCTCTACGAAGTCCAGTGTTTGCTTTCAGGAGGCAAAGGCTCAGGCTGGGCGTGCGGGACTGCGCACCGGCTGGCAGAGGCAGCGCTGGGCACACACCTGAAACTCACCTTGAGCAGGCAAAATGCAGGCGGTGTGCTTCCGATTTACCCTTTATAACAGAGCAGGGACATGTAATCAATTTGTCATCAGGAAAAGCAAAAGTATTGCATAATTTGCAAACACCGGGACTGTTTGCTTCCGTGTCCTTCTGGTACATTCATACATTTTCCAGTCTGCCAGTGCTTTTTCTTTTCTGTACTAGTGCTACCTGAAAATGAGCATTTTAGTTCTCAGAGAACGATGCCGATTCCTTCCTGGGCTCTGCTTTTTCACTCTAATCAATTTTCTCTAATCTAATCAATTTTCAAATTGATTGCTCAGTCCTGTTTCAACTGGAATAAAAGCATCCCAAATTCATCAGGTAATACAATATCTCCATAAAGACATAAACAGTTTTAAATTATTTGAAATCTGGCCTACTTGTAACTTCAATCTGAATTTTGAGTCATGAGTAACGTGGAGGATGCCGCTTTTACACACTTTTCACCTCCTCTCAGATTTTCTGTTTGACTTTGTCACTGAGTGGCTCCAAAAGCTTAAATTAATCACAAGATCCACTAATCTTTTGTTTAAAGGTATGTTAAAGCCAATTAAGCTGGCTTTAAGAAAGCCGCAGAGAAAAGCTAGAAAAATCAGCTAAGTGGATCAACAACTTCAAAGTATTAAAGCTAATTTAAGAGTAAATTTGGACTGGTCGAGTTCACTGCTTTGAAAGTTGCATGTGATAAAACTGAGGCTGAAGTTTCCTCAGGTGCTGACTGTCCATGTAGGGCAGGGCAGGTGTTCAGGTGGGACCCAGCCGTGTAGTCATGGTAAATCAGCCCCCTCCTGCATTCATACACCCTTGGCTTTGCAACCAACTCACCCAGACAGATTTAATAGCGCTAAGCAGGTGGCTAAATGGTTGAAAGTCTGGGCAATAAGATTCTCTCCCCAGCAACATCTTCCAGTGGTTTTAAGCCATGATGAAACAACAGCAACAACAACAACAAAAACACAAAAAAAACCATCAAAAAATTTTAAATAATTTTAAAGATTCCCATGTCCCTCCCAATAAAAACAAAAGCACAAACTCAAAGACCTAAAATAGACCTTTTTCCCTAGAAGTGACATTTTTCAATCATTTAATCATTTTGGGTGTTTTTAAAATTCTTTTGATTCGTTCCTCATGTTCTGTTCCTTTAGAAAATGCACTGGGAGAATGGGGTAAAGGAGGATAAGGAGAAAGCCCAACAACTGCCATTGTATGTTTGGCAAAAGCTATTTGGAACACAACTATCTCTTTCCTTTAGAAACCTATGTGGAATTGTTTAGGAAGTGCTACTCCTGACATATCACAATGAATACAAATAAAAAGTAAAACCAACAAACATTTACAAAAACATGCTTACAATCAAGCTAGAGAGGCCTTTAAAATCTCAAATATTTTTTGTAAACTCCTTGTAGTGTTGGGGTTTTTTGTTCACAGATGGAAAAAAATTCATAGGCTTAAATGTGCATCAGCACTGCAAATGTTTGATTACTCCTTACAGTGTATTCATTAGAAATTTGTTTAGCTTTGCTTTAGACATTTCAAACAACAGTTTCCACTGCTTCCTTGACAGACCAAAATATTCCATAGCCTACAACAGCCAGAAAGACTTCCTGATATTCAGCCAAAATTCCCTTTTCTTTACATCATCTCACTACTCCTGATTATACATGTCTTTGTATATAAAGTTCTCCCACAGTAAGAATCAGACTCTTTCAAAATACTCGCCACCAGAAATGTAATGCCTCACTCATCACCAGCCCACTCTCTATATAGCTGTCTACTGCCTTCCCCGTGACGGTACCTTAAAAATCTTCTTTTTTTGTGCTTTTAAATGCCGTCCAGCTGTCAACTACTTTCCGCTAAGGCAGGCTAGAGGTAGCTGAGAAACTGGAGCCATGTGTGAGCGGCGTAGAAAGTTCAGGACAGTGGAACTTCTATTGCTGTTCATGAAAAAAAGCTCTGTGGACACCCCCAGAGAAGGGAAGCAGACACTGGGTTTGGTGTTAAAGGTCGTATCCTCTCCAAATGCAGATTGAATCAGCAGTATTCACTTGCCTCTAAAATGATTGGAAAGTAAGAATCAAGGAAATGGACGGGGGGGGGGGGGGGGAAAATCACATGAAAACCTAACAAAGTAATTTCAAGTTTTCTTTTGGCTTTTGTACAAGAATCTGAGAATTTGATGATGATTTTCTCAAAACAACAGTGTAGTCTGGTTTCTGCAGCAAGTTTTCCTTCTAAAATAACTTGGGTTGATTGCCTATGCTACTCAGGTAATAGTTGATGAGAAAAATCACAACAGTGTGACAATTCTCATGATGTGGTCTTGGATGAAGTTCTCTATAAGCAAATAGAGGCTGAGCAGGGCAGGCTTGAAGAAAATTGCTGCTCAAGACAGCAGCTATCCTCTGTTATAGCACGTGGGTTTAGATTCGAACTCTGAAAAACACTTTATAAAAATGACCTGAGTTTGGAGTCACAACAAAAGTAAATGAAAGCTGAAAGTTCTTAATATGTCTGAAAAAAAATCAAGCCATCTTTCTGGAGATACACAAGGAGAAACTGCAGGTTTAACTGTCATTGTCCATGTCTGAATATTGTGGCTGACAAATGCGGGGGGGATGGGGAAAGAAAAAAGGTGTGACTAATGCAATAATTGCAAAGTACAACGCATCATGGCTTACTGTAATATGTCCTTTGCATTGTACAAGCATCTGTTTCAATAACAAGCATATGGTGTAAAAAGGAGTTGAGTTACTCATATCTTAATCAACATAGTGTCTTCCCTTTCAGGGATCCAGCATGCCACAGTACAAGCTGACATATTTCAATCTGCGAGGACGAGCAGAAATCAGCCGTTACCTGTTTGCCTATTCGGGCAAGAAGTATGAAGACCATCGGATAGAAGCAGCAGACTGGCCCAAAATCAAACCAAGTAAGTAGCATGAGATCTTATATTCAAAGTTCTGCTAGACATGCTGTTGAAAAGAAAAGCAATTGAGGAAGTAACTATATGTTTCATGACCAGAAACACATTTAATTCCTGGCTTTAATGAAGCCTATGGGAATGTTATTGCCTAGGCAGCCGAAATGTCATTCCTGATGTTCTCACAGAAGTCCGGATCCAAATCTTCAGACAGTCTAAAATTTCTTACCTGCTATCATCCAGCTGGGCTTTTACTCCTTATCAATTCAGTTCAGCTTTTGTCAGCCTAAAGCTGACCAGATGCATGTTAATCTTCCCAGCTTCTTTGGAGCATTTGGTCTCAAAGACCACATCGTAGCCTTCATCTTGGTTTTAGAAAGCCAGATTGGAAATATGTGTGAAGAAGGACACTGCTTTGCAACCAGAAAGGTCTTCAGAGACGGAAGGTGATGAAAAAAACCGAAAAGAAATCAGCTGATAAAGAGAACACAAAAGGATCAAAAGAGGTGCTAGAATATCATTGTTCCTAAGAACAGCCCTTCTGAGAGGCTACAATACTCCGTTTCACGGTATTTAGTTAAAAGTAACCTCTTTCCAGCTATTAAAGCTATTGTTCATTAAATTAACCTTAGTTCAAAGGAAACAGATGTTGAGTTTGGAGACTGGGGATATGAAATCAGAGATATCTGTGTCTTCACTTCATGGATTTGGCCTGTGTTTTGCCACACAGGCTATGACACTTTTCACATCTAGAATGAAGAATAAAGCCTTTAATTTGGGGACAACGCACAACTAATGCACAATGTGATTTCCATCAATCAATGTTTCTTGGTAGGCTTTCACACCATTTAATAAGCCCAGCCAACAGGCTACCAAATTCTTGTAGGGTGCAGTTAAATTTGGTCTTTCTGGTAAAGTTCGTAGTGACTTGAACAACAAACACTTAAACATTGCTGCTCTCCAAGTGGCAGCTGAAGCCCATCTGTGGTGCTCAAATCCAGAAAACACTATCTAACCACCCACAGAGCGGAGTGCAAATGAAGCAGTGGGAACGGGATATTGTCAGTTAGAGATGGCTGACTCCAGAAACTTTTTCTTTTTAAGAATTTGAACCTGTTGACTATGTGATATATTTTATGTCTCTCCTACTGCAATTCTCAAGGAAGCAGGGCAGAAGCTAAAGGTGACACTGAGAATTCAGAGGAAATAGAGAAGAGCTCTGCACAGGCCTTTTTCATACTTACCTACGCACATATTCACACATACACACAGCCACTTACGTCCTGAAATAAATTTCAGAGAATATTAGCAAAGTATAATTCCATGTAGAGTTTTGCATACTGATTTTTAAGTAAGACAAATTAAAAAGACAAAGCATAAGTAGTGACTTAAAGGCTACAGAGGCATTTATATCCTACGACAAGATGCTCTAACAGCAGATCTGTCAATCAATATTAATGATGTCCCCAATGTCCAAGCCAGCACAAGAAACAATGCAGGAAAATCCTTCCGATGCTTTTCTTCAGTGCTCACATCATGAACTTCCCAGTGAAGCTTTATATATACAGTATTTGTTCACTAGAAGTGTATGCCCCGCTGCAACACCATTACCACCAAAACACTGGGAGCAGAGGCATCCTAGAAATCCTAAGCCATACAGTTTGCAGCTGTATCTGCTGCATTAACGAATGTTGGTCAAGTCATTTTACCTTTGGACACCTTTGTTTCTCTTTCGGTGATGTGAAAAGTTTGTTAGCAGGTTTACCAAGGGTTAATGAAGGTTTTTCATTTTCTCTGCATAATGGCCTTTCACAGCAGTCTCTACGATGACTGATCCCTAGATGAAATTCCAAAGCAGTTAGGAAGTTTAGTAAAATGTGGGGGCTGCTGCTCTCAGATATGTGAAATCATCTGTGCAAAATTTATGCTGGCCTAGGAGTTGTTTGAAGGCCAGGCTCCTGTAGACCACGTGCTTCCAGTCAGGCAGCGGATGGGCACTGGAATGTATTGTGCTATTTGACCAGGAAAACGTACACCTACAAAGAAATAGTTGGATGCATGTCTGAAATGACATGGAACGTGACTGTTGCTTCTGGAAGGCTCCCTGAATCCTGGCTCCAGCACCAGAGTAACAATGGCATTTGTTGCTAGTGGCATCCGCATTGCAGACAATATGCAAGTTAAGATGTTCATCAACTAAAACAAGAGTAAAGGTATCTTGTTTGTATGCGTAACAATGTAATGCTGCTAAGGAAATTGTCTGGAGATCAACTAACTGATGACTACCTCCTACTCCTCCTCCACCTTTGTGAAGCAGTGTTACTCATGGTAGTTCCAGACAAAATAATCTCCCACAGGCAAATCATTCAGCAAAACTCTAAATAAAAGGTAGCAGCAGGACTTGGCAGTAAACAGCCTTACGCTGTACAAGACGACCAATAACCACCGCCCCAATCTGCCCCACGGTACCTAAGCACTGACTTTGCAGGCCACAACTCAACACAAGAAACGGTTGCATCCTAGCAGGGACTAGGTCAGTACAGGGCTTGTATGTCTTAACACTACAACAATATTGCATACAGCAGAGATGCACCGTTTGCCATGAGGAAAACAAATGACTTGCATTCTCTGCTATCCTGAATGTTCAAAATATGCCTCAGCTCCCTTCATGGAGGTGGGGATTGAAGAGGACAAAGCACCAGTCCTCAGGAAAGGAGGCAACAGGATCCCTGCAAAAAAAGTTCAGCTACTGGTGTTTTCAACAGTAAGTATGAAATGAGGGAATCCATCCAACGCATTGCGCTTACAAAAGCATAGTTCACTCTGATGAAAGAGCTTCTACACTACTATCATTCATATCCTGTATTCAGATCTTCCTTATGAAGCTCAGGATTTTTTTTTTTTCCACCTCCTCATTTTACCTGGATTGGGTGTACTTTGCAAAGAAATAAAGTAGCAGATTCCAGTCAGTCTCATCCTGGTGAAAACCAAAGGGCGGTTAACTATTTAGCAACGATAAGGGGAATTACAGCTGCATTTGATGTAACAGCAGCTAATGTAATAGCAATTTGGTACACCGCTTATTTTGCAACCCTCAAAAATAATTAAAACTGGTCCAATTAATTGAACTAATTACATAATTGTATATTGGAGTGAGATTAAGAAATACCAGACAAATTGCTATGTACGCATGCATACACCATGTTTGCATTTACCCACTCGCCTGTGAAAGATCTGAAAGCAGTTTTGACTGCAGAGTCTGCAAGTACAACATAATGTCTCTCTTTTTAAAAACTTCAAGTATTATGAAATAAGATAAAGAAAAACATACATAGGGAAGAAGTTTGGACAAGGAGAGCACTTCATGTTTCTTGATCTACTAAGGCAACAAATCAAAGAATTCAAGTTTGTCTAAGAGCACAAGGAGTCAGGTCTCTGGCTCAGAGGGTAGGTTTGCTTCATCAATTTTCACAAAATTCAAGTAAGGTTTCGCAACACAAAAACAACCTCCCAGCCAAATCATTATACCGTATAAACCAGAAAATACAGTCATTTTTCTGAAGAAAAGACTTATTTCTTAGTTCTCCTGTAAAATTCATGGAAAAATAGAAAATGTGCAGAAAGGCCATTTAGAAAACAGACTTGGGGCTGCTGCAAGTTTAATTTTGACCCGAACTGAGGAGTGTGATGATTTTTGTGGTTTGTTTTGGCATTTTTCATGCGGCTCCTCCCAGCAAGCTGTCATCTTAATGGTCCTTGAGGCAAATAAGTAACTCCTCACTCCTAGAAATACTGTCTCACTTGATTTTGTTCATGCCTAAGTGGTGGTTTTTGGTACGAGAGGGAGGCATATTATAACACTAAAACTTATGTCATTTGGCTTATAGACTCTGAAATTAAAATGTCTGTATCTCAACATTTATTTTTTTCCCTTCTGTCACTAATCAGATCATCTTTCATAAGTTTTGCAGTTGCTGATTTCAGGCAAGGATTCTAGTTTATAATCTAAAGAAGCTTATGCAAGCTAGTATGTAAGTATTAGCATTGACTAGCTTTAGCACAGAATGTTAAAAACCAGACAAATATCTAGTAGAAACTTTACATGACCCTTCACTCTATATAAGTCAATAATTATATTTAAATAAGTAAACAAACTCACATTTTACGTTTCCTTTGGAACAGACTTTGACATGACCACGCCACCATTTAAACCGTAGTCAATTCAAGATCTATATGCTATCACATAACAGACTCATCCAAGATCTGCATTGCCACAGAATAGGCTCCTCACAAAAAGCAGCATTGCACTGATGTAAGTCATGATATAGCAGAAAATCCACTGTAATGATGCACAAAGTTGCCATCCCCTTGAGATATTAGGTTAGCATGCAGTAACAGCTTTTGTTCTGTGGCTCGTTCAGGGAATTTGAAGCAATGGCAATTACACAGGCTTCATCATCATAGCAAAGGACGCTTTTGTTACACTGACTGCTGTAAACGTCCTGTAAACTGTTTAAGAGGGGTGGAATGGTGCTTGAAAGGTCCTCAGGAAACCTGGCACACTAATTATTGTGCTGAAAATACTTCCAACATAATAGATAAATCTTGAGAGGCACCTGGCAGCAGACAAGAGTTCCCCAAGGGAGGAGTTGTCCTGTTTCTCAAGTGACTTGTTACTGCATACATAGCTCTAGCTATGATGTGTAAATAGCTATCTTTGGGTAAAATTAGGAATCGCTTCCAACGAGAATATGAGTTGTAATAGCTACAGCACTAAAGCTGCAATGAGGTTAGATCAAAGCACAATCTTGTTCATCGCTTTCTAGATTGGGATTCTGGATGCCTCCAGCTCCAGGCCAATCACTTCCCAGGGGCCTTGCTCCTCTCCCAGCCTTACAAAAAATAAATCTTTCATATACTTCTTATTGGAAAATGCAAAGTATCTCATATATTTGTTTCTCATGATCTAATTTAAATGTTAATGGCAAGGAAAAGCAGTTATGGTTAGT